GGTTTCTGGGGTTTTGTTTAGCTTCTTATTTGCAACATAGTACATAGTTGCTTAGAGTTGCAGCTGAGAGGCCGGCAAGTGAGGCGGGGAACGTTGGAGTCTGCAGTCACTGGAGCAAGCAAGCCTCCCTGCTCGCTTCAGTGCATGGCTGCCGGCCGCCATCTTGTCTGACAGTTAATTTGCATAAGGATATGCTGATTAGCCAATGGGAAGGGTAGCGGTCGTACGCTAATTACCGTGTTTCTCTTTTATTAGTGTAGATATAAATTTTTTTTATTGATTTCAGAGAGGAAGGGAGAGGGGGAGATAGAAACATCAATGATGAGAATCATTGATCGGCTGCCTCCTGCACGCCTCCTACTGGGGATCGAGCCTGCAACCTGAGCATGTGCCCTTGATGGAATTGAACCCAGGACCCTTCAGTCCACAGGTGACGCTCTATCCACTGAGCCACACTGCATAGGGCTTGTCGCTGTGTTTTTTAATTGAAATCTCAGTGTCCACGCATCCTTTCATTTTCCTCTCTCTCCTTCCTGAACAACTCCGTCTGACAGGCATTGGGCTGGACAGGGTGTCCTAGGTGTACCTGGGGGTGAGGGTTAAGAGCCACCATGACCCGGAGCAGGTGTGGATGCCAAGGGGGTGAGGAAGGTGTTGGCATTGAGATGTGCCCCACACGGGGCCCTGGCAGAGAGGAGTCCACACAGGGGCCTGTTGGCACCGAGGGTCAGAACCAGGCTGGTGAGGGGTTCACGGGCACGGTGGTAACCGGTATCGCATCTGGGCAGGGCAGAGGGCACCCTCAGTGGTAAAGTCAGGACTTGAGCCCAGCAAGGGTTTCCCGGAGGACACCTGGCAATTCACATCAGCCACGTCGGTGAGCAGAGCCTTCACACGGGACAGCGGCCAATGTGGGGAGCGGGAACCTGAGCCACAGGAGGGGGTGATGGCCCGGCCAGGGGGCTCAGGCAGGGAGGGGCAGCACCCGCACAGGACAGAGGCAGCCGTGGGAGGTGGGGACAGACAGGGGAGATCAAATCCGAAGATGGATTCGGGGAGTGGGAGGCAATGTGACGGACAAGTTCTGTGCCGGACATGGGAGTGGCAATGTGACCAGGAGACCTGGTGACGCCTGGGTTTTAGACGGGGCTGGAGGCACCGGGGTGATGGCGGGCAGGAAGGTGTGCGGACCTGGGCTCCCTGTCTGCTCCCCGAGGCCGGGACAGGCAGCGCCCCCACCATGATGCACCGGCCCCCACCCAGGAACGCAGTCTGTCCCGGCTGCCAGTGTTCAAGGTTTGTGGTGCGACTGTCCTTGTTCTGATGCTGACGTAGATTAGGTGGTACCCGGCCCGTTCCCACGGGGAGCTGCTTTCCAGGGCGCGGCCTGGAGGTGGTAGCGCGGCGTTGAGACCCCTGGACGGCGCGTGTGATGGGCCCAGTAAGGCCTCTGTTCACTCTTCAGATCCCGGTGGGCGGGGGCAGAGATCGCCCCTCTTGGTCCCCGGGACCAGCCTCGTGTGTGAGCTCCCTGCTGGCTGACCTGCGCCCAGGAGCCTGGAGCCGTCGGCCTCTTCCTTCGGGGTCTCCCTACCTGTGAGTACCGGGGCCCATTTACGAGCCACAGGAGCCTGGATCCCAGAGTTTGGGGGGGGTGGGCTCCTGTCAATCATGAGGGTGGGAGACCAAGCAGACCTGGGTGGGAAAATCCCTGGCAAACGTGCTGCCATTGCCGTTACCACCCTCCCACCCTCTGGCTTCCATGACCCACAGCCTTGGGCGTCACACTCTGCAGACCCAACACCGATGCTCCGAGTCGGCCGGCGTGGCAGACCTGTGCCCCCAACTCCCCCATCAATCCCAGCCTCTGCTCAGTCCGGGCAGGGGCTCCAAGTCCCTCTGACGATAACCCTTGCCAGCTCCTCTGAGCGGGCATAGGAGACGCTAAGTGCCCGCCGTCTGCCCTGCCCTCCTGGAGCTGGTCCGACACACAGGCGGGGAACGGACCGCGTCACTGCTTTACTGGGAGGGGAATACACTCCGACACGATGCAGGGCTCCGAGCCCAGCACGATCTCCAGCTCCAGGTGCAGCTGGTTGGCCGTGACTCGGTAGTGGCCCTTAATGAAGCCCCGGGAGCTGCAGGGCCGGCACCGCCAATAGCCCTGGATGATGCGGGCGGCGTGGAGCAGGCGGCAGTAGCGCAGGCGGATGCGCCACATGCGGACCCAGGACTGCAGCCTGACCGCGGCCCACTCCTTCCGGGTGAAGGCCTCCAGCACCGCCCGCCGCCGCGCCTCCAGCGCCCTCATGCGGATCTGCTTCCACCAGCGCTGGATGGTCAGGGCTCCGAGGGCCGCGAACAGCAGCGACCGGCGCACCACGATGCCCCGCCACCAGGCCTGGATCTTCACCACTTCTGGGTCGCGAGGGGGGGGCCTACTTTTGTATGGTAAGATCTTGCAAGAAAAAAAAAGAGGCCGTTCAGAGCGTGCCCCCCCGCCCTCAGATCCGGGGGTTTGCCACGGAGGGACCCGGACTCCCTCTCAGTAATCACTCCTCCTCCCGGCCTCAGAAACACTGGGCAGGGCCCTGACTGGAACCAGAGGCCAAGCCGGTGTCCTGTCTCTGTCCCTCCCTGGCTGACGGACATGGACACACTGACCTCTGAGCCTCGGAGTTCCCATCCATAAAATGGGATCACATCGGCCCTGGCGGCCAGTTTCATGTGACTCTAGGAGGCCAGCCAGGGGCAAGAGCACCATGAGCTGTCGGTCAAAGGGTGACCCTGTTTACCTGCCCAGGATCCATGACCCCTCCCCCCAGGCCCCACCCACTTCCTGGAGAAGGGGCATCTTTTGCTAATTCTGCCCTTTCATCTTTCACCCCAACTCAGGTCCACAGCATGCTCTTCCCCTGCATGCCACAGTATTAAGTTTCCTCCAGCCCTGGCCGGTGGGCCTCAGTGGTTAGAGCATTGGCTTGTGCACCAAAGGGGCACAGGTTCGATTCCCGGTCAAGGGCACATACCTGGGTTGGGGATTTGCTCCCTACCCCGTTCAGGGCAGGTGCTAGAAGCAAATAATGATCTCTCTCTCTCTCTCTCTCTCTCTCTCTCCCTCCCTCCCCTCTCCTGCCCTCCATCTCACACTCTCTGAAAAGCAATGGGAAAAGTATCCTCAGGTGAAGATTAACCAAAAAAGAGTTTCCTCCACACCAGGCCACGGCCACGAGTTTGACATGCTCGCAGCTCCACCGCCCATCTCTTCCCCATCCTCACTTCCCCACTTTAATCTTAACGAACAGGCAAACATACATGCACAAGCTCGCAGCCCTTCCCCAGGCCCCTTCTCCTGTGCGGGCCACTCCATTCCGCAGACCCAGCCCCGCCCCCCAGCCGTGTGTCTGGGGGAGTCATACTTTTTTGGGTCCTTCATTAGCATTATCCACTTTCTTTGCCTCAACTGTATTCGCATTGTTCGCCTGAAAAAGGAATGGGGGAAGAGGACAGACGAGGAGGAGTTGGTTCCTGTCCTTCGCTCTGGGCCGCGCAGAAGACACCAGCCACCGGCCCTAGGAGACAGGCCGGACCCGGTCAGGGCGCCTACCTCCGCCTCGGCCTCTAGGGCCCGCGGTGCTGGGGGCGAGCCCGTGGGCTCCCCCTGCGGCTGAGGCTCCTCTTCCGCGTGTTCGTCAGTGTTCTCAGGCTGGTCCATCTCCTGCTATCAGCAGTTGGGGGGAAGGAGAGATTCTCCCTTCAGTATCCCACAATCCTCAGCTTCCGGGGCTCCCAGCGTATTCAGGTGTCAGGGCGCCCCCTCATCCTGTGGGGACACCCCTAAAAAGCCTGCATCTGTCTCTTACCATTGGTCCCACATGGGTTGGGTGTAGATGGTTCAAATCCCCTCAGGTCTGTTACTCCAGCCACGGCATGGGGAAAGAGTGTGTGTGTGTGGGGGGGAGAGCTATGATGTCATAAGGGCAGCTATGACTCAGGAACCAGGATGGCTCCCAATTGCTGAGCCCCCTCCAGGAAAAGACAAAGGTCTCTCCATTCTTTTCTGCTGGAAGTGGCCAAAGCCCAGACACCAGAAGTACTGACCCATTGACGTAAAGGTGTGAAAGATGACCCTCCCCAACTGGTAAAACTGGGGATTGATCTAATAGTTTACCGTCCATCCACACTCTAGAATACTATGCAGCTGTTAGAAAACAATGAATTTGATCTATATGTCCTGATGTGGAAGTATATCCAAGATGCATTTTTATAAAAAATATATTTTTATTGATTTCACAGAGGAGGGAGAGGGAGAGAGAAACATTAATTATGAGAATCATTGATCGGCTGCCTCCTGCACACCCCCTACTGAGGATGTAGCCCACAACCCGGGCATGTGCCCTGACCAGGAATCGAACCATGACCTCCTGGTTCATAGGCCGATACTCAAGCACTGAGCCACAGCCGGGCTCAAGATGCATTTCTAAGTGAAAAAAGTTAAAGATCAGTATGACCCTGTTTAAGTAAATAAAACCATCAAGATACACAATTACCATGAACCAGGAGGTCACGGTTCAATTCCAGGTCAGGGCACATGCCCGGGTTGTGGGCTCGATCCCCAGCAGGGGGGTGTGCAGGAGGCAGCCGATTGATGTCAGCAGTTGGGGGGAAGGAGAGATTCTCCCTTCAGTATCCCACAATCCTCAGCTTCCGGGGCTCCCAGCGTATTCAGGTGTCAGGGCGCCCCCTCATCCTGTGGGGACACCCCTAAAAAGCCTGCATCTGTCTCTTACCATTGGTCCCACATGGGTTGGGTGTAGATGGTTCAAATCCCCTCAGGTCTGTTACTCCAGCCACGGCATGGGGAAAGAGTGTGTGTGTGTGGGGGGGAGAGCTATGATGTCATAAGGGCAGCTATGACTCAGGAACCAGGATGGCTCCCAATTGCTGAGCCCCCTCCAGGAAAAGACAAAGGTCTCTCCATTCTTTTCTGCTGGAAGTGGCCAAAGCCCAGACACCAGAAGAACTGGCCCATTGACGTAAAGGTGTGAAAGATGACCCTCCCCAACTGGTAAAACTGGGGATTGATCTAATAGTTTACAGTCCATCCATACTCTAGAATACTATGCAGCTGTTAGAAAACAATGAATTTGATCTATGTCCTGATGTGGAAGTATATCCAAGATGCATTTTTATAAAAAATATATTTTTATTGATTTCACAGAGGAGGGAGAGGGAGAGAGAAACATTAATTATGAGAATCATTGATCGGCTGCCTCCTGCACACCCCCTACTGAGGATGTAGCCCACAACCCGGGCATGTGCCCTGACCAGGAATCGAACCATGACCTCCTGGTTCATAGGTCGATACTCGAGCACTGAGCCACAGCCGGGCTCAAGATGCATTTCTAAGTGAAAAAAGTTAAAGATCAGTATGACCCTGTTTAAGTAAATAAAACCATCAAGATACACAATTACCATGAACCAGGAGGTCACGGTTCAATTCCAGGTCAGGGCACATGCCCGGGTTGTGGGCTCGATCCCCAGCAGGGGGGTGTGCAGGAGGCAGCCGATTGATGATTCTCTTTCATCATTGATATTTCTCTCTCTCTCCCCCTCTCTTTTGCTCTCTCTGAAATCAGTAAAAAGTATTTTTTTTAAGTTGCATTACATTTAGGGGAAGAAAAATTAACATGACAGATAAAATAAAAAGCACCCCCAAAATTGAAAGACACAGGGCCATAAACAAAAATCTATTTCTACACATCAATAAACAGTTGGAAAATTCTTGATATAGAAGTGCAAAGTTAAAGATTTACATCATCTGATTTCAAGACAATGGTTTACTGTCTTGAAAAACTATCAAGTTACAGTAATCCAGACAGCGTGGTTTCAGTGTGTAAGAAGAGACAAACAGGTCAATGAAACGGAATGGAGAAGCCAGAAACAGACTCACATTTACAGTCTATTGATTTTTTTTAATGTACCAAGATAACTCCATGCAGAAAGGAAATGCATTTTTCAATGGGGAAAAAAATTTGACCCTTATCTAATATCATAGACCAAAAAAAAATTAATTCAAGATCTACCATAGGCCTAAACAAAAACTGAAGCTAAAACTATAAAGCTTATAGAAGAAAAGCCATGGGAATTCCTTTGTGACCCTGGAATCAACGAAGACAGGATAGAGCACAAACTCTAAAATATTGATAGACTGGCTTTGTCCAAATTAAAACTGCTCATCAAGACGGCACTCTTCCAAAGCCACAAGCTTAGGAGGAGAACTTCAGCACATAGATCTGACAAAGGACTCATAACCAGAACACAAGATGTTCTACAACACAATGAAGACACGCAACCCAATAAAAATGGTCAAAAGGCTTAAACCCATACTTCATAAAAGATCTTCAAATGGCCACGAAACACATGGAAAGTTGCTCAACACCCTTACTTATTAGGGAAAGGCAACATTGAAACCACGGTGGGTTAACGCAAGGTACCCATTAACGATGGCAAAACATAAAGGAAAAACATGGGAACCGACTGCTGACAAGAAGAAACCACCAGTTTGGAAATCAGAGTGGCTGTTTCTGATAACAGGAAGCGCGTACCTTTGCCCACTGCATGACTCAGCCCCTCACTCCCAGGTATGGTTTACTCGGGAGATTTACTCGGGAGACAGCGTGTGTGTGTTCCAAGGCTTGTACAGGAGCATTAGAATGCCCGTCGTCAGAGTGGCTGTTTCTGATAACAGGAAGCGCGTACCTTCGCCCACTGCATGACTCAGCCCCTCACTCTCGGGAGATTTACTCGGGAGACAGCGTGTGTGTGTGTTCCAAGGCTTGTACGGGAGCATTAGAACGCCCGTCGCATTATAATCATAAAAGCCAAATACTGGGAACGAGTCGAATGTCTATGGAGTGGGTTTTTAGTATACTCATAAGATGACGTATTAAACAATAAAAAGCAAAGAACTAATGACACATGCATTGACATGGATATGTCTTTTTTTTTCCAACTCCAGTTTACATTCAATATTATTTTGTATTAGTTTCAGGTGCGGCCTGGGTGTATCTTACAGTCATCATGTTGAGCAAAGAAAGCCAAACCAAAACACAAAGTACTGTTTAATGCCATTTATATGAAGTTTTAAAACATGCAAAACTGATATATAGTGATGGAAACCAAGCAGTGCTTGCCTCTGAGAGCTGAGATTCATTAGAAAGAGGCACGAAGGAGCTTTCTGGGAAGATGGAAATGTTCTGTATGCTGATGAGGTGTAGATTATGGGATACATCCATTTGCAGAACTCATTTAACTGCCCATTTAAAAATTTTTCATTTGACTATACATAAATTATACCTTGATTTTTTTTTTTTAGATGAAGTTGAAATAAAAACATTTAAAAAATAAAGAACCCAGCCAGTATGGCTCAGTGGTTGAGAGTCAACCCATGAACCAGGAGGTCACATCTATTCCCAGTCAGGGCACATGACGGGGTTGCAGGCTTGATCCCCAGCTTTGGGCATGCAGGAGGCAGCCGATCAATGATTCTCTCTCATCACTGATGTTTCTTTCTCTCCCTTCTCTGAAATCAATAAAAATATATTTCAAGAAAAAAGTATGAGCCCAACTCCAGCAAGGCAGCCTCAGCTGACCACGGCGGAGGATGGAGGCCGCAGGAGAAATTATACCATTTCAACGCCAAAGCCACTCACTTCCCAGCTTTCATTACTCCCTGGGGGTGTGCCAATGGGAAATGCTTCACATGTTAGGGGCATCTCAGTGTTGCTGGCATCACTCAGGAGGTAAGTTTGTCATCAGTGAGCTCATTCTGAGGCAGGACATGGGGAGTGAATCCCATCAGCATCCCCTAAACCCCACCCCCACCCTGGGTTAAGGGATCCCTAACACTCCTCGTCCCCCCCAGGGGATGAGGGGACATCAGGGCACCTCCAGCTGCCTGGCCACCTGCTTGCCCACTCCACCCCACGCAGGAGCGCATCATCCAGTGGGTGAAATCAGGGGCCTGAGCCAACATTCCTGACACACCCACCGCAGGGTCACGGCCGGCCGGCTCCTGGAGGGCACCCAGCCTCACTGCCCCGTCCCAGGCAGCACCTGCAGTCGCCCTCCCCAGGGGGGTCTGGCCTGAGGGGGCAGGTCAGCCTGACTTGGAGGCCTGGCTGTCTTCGCTTCACTCAGACCCACCGCCTGCCCCCGAGGTCACTGAGGGTGCCGGGTCCGGGACCAGGAGCACCGAGGGCCTGTCTACAAGTTCCTGGCGGAGGGCAAGCAGCCCCCCAGCTGACAGCAGACAGACTGCGGAGCGTGGCCCTCCCCAGGCCCTGCCACCCCTCCCCCCAGGCAAGAAGTGCAGGAGACAAGGCCCAAAAGAGAAGACGTTTAATACAAGAGGGCAGGGCGGGCGGGAAGGACTTAAATAGGGGACGGCGTCAGGAGCCTGCGGCCGTGGGCCTGGGGGCCCTCCGCAAGGGGATGATGCACACGGAGTTCCGAGCCTCTTTGATCCGCCACCATCGGCCCAGCCTGCGGGGCGAGGGAGAAGCTGAGGCCGGGGCAGCCCCTAGTCCCACCCCAGGTCCCACCCAGCCGCCAGCCAGTGCCCTTCCCCACCCTCCCCTCCAGGGCGCCTCCTACCTGTGCTCCTGCCCCACCCCGGCCACCAGGAAGTCCCCGGCGCTGGAGAACTTGAGGCTATTGATGAAGCCCACCTGGGAAAGGGGGTGATGGCAGAGGGATGAGCGCACACCCCCGCCCCCCGCCACGGCCTGCACCTCAGGGTCGAGGCTTGGCCTTAGCTGACCTGCCTTCCACCCCTGCTCCGCCTCCTCCCGCCCCCCAACCAGCCGTCACCCCTGGGCTGGGGCCACGGCCTCCACACGTATGGGCAGGGAGGCAGAGCTTTGTGAGGACTAAGGAGACAGTGTACACCAAGCACGTCAGTGTGGCCCAGGGCCAGGCCCCTGGCTGTGGGGCCTGGAGACCCCATCGCCATCACCCTTGACCCAAGCTCTGCACTTCACCAGACGTCACTGACAGACCTGCCACTCTCCCCGCGGTCACCCAAGTGGGTGCCCCAGCTCAGCATCAACCTGGCACTGCCACAGAGCCCATCGCAGGGCCGGGCCGCCACACCTGTGCCCGTGGGCTCCCTGCCTCGTACCCAGCACCCAGGGGGGAGGGAGAGGAAGGAGCAGGGAGGGTTCTGCCAGGCCCCGGGCTAGGAGAGGAGGCTCCCTCCTGCTAGAAAGACAGTCCAGGGACCTTGGGGTGCGGCCAAGATGGCCGGGCACTCAGGCCCACTCACCAGGGGGATGTCGCAGAGAGGGTCGAGCTGCCGGAAGCCCTCCCCGCACCGCCAGAGCCGCA